CTGGTGGTCGCATTATAGCAGTTTGCTAAGAGATTAACTAGGAAATGGACGTACGACAGGTGGCGATATCTGGTCATCCTGATCCATAAGAAAGAACAAAATCCTTGTGTCAAAAATTATTGACTTCCACAATCATCCGACGCCTAGATAGTCCAAGAGAGTAGTAAGTCCCTAAGACTAAGCTAGTTTCAGACCCAGCGCTAGGTTTACGGCTCCGGATGATTTTGAACGTAGACATATACCGACTTTTGATGTTGACTTTACTTCCCGACCTCGTCTATCAGGATGCTGTGACAGTGCTTACCATCAAAAAATCAGAAAAGAAAATAAGTGAACCCAATCCGCTATCAGTCCAACATAAGTGGCCGTTAGGGCTCATGACGTACTGCCGTCAGATTTTGCTAACGTAAGTTTGTCATGGCTTCCCACTCGAGTTTCATTTAATCTCCATAAATAAAACTTCATAGGTGGTGCTTTCTTCGCCTGATTTTTCAGGAATTGGTCTGTCAGGAGAAAGTCCTGTTTGTTAGCTACCCTGAAATAATGAGTAGGTCTCTGAAACCTTACAATAATAAAGTAAGTGTTTGGAATACTCTTCATTCCGCCACTTGTAGCGTAGGTGAGGTGTCCGTCTGTCTAATAAACAATCGGCATCGTTCAACAATACGCTCCTTATTGCTGGATATCGTCTACGACATTGGGAGAGCTGCGTCGGCCTCAGGTTTCTTTATATAGATAACTTCGGAGCATTTCTGGCGTATATTGAGATATTCGAGAAAGAGATGCGAAGACTGATAATACTAGGTGTGGCCACAACCAAAGGTGGGGGGAAATCTACGAAATCACTGACTTTCAGGCCAAATCACGATGATAGATGAAGAGTACTTGGTTGAGCTACACGAAATATGTGACTAGTAGCTGCATATGATAATTCGAAATCGATCATGGCAGCCTGAATGCATTCACCCTTGGTCATAAGCTTCGATATTATTTTAGATTTTCATTCCTCGAATTTACCCTTTTCAGAACCGCTTTTCAATGATTGCTTGCACTCTATATCGTTGACAACACCATTATCACGAAAATTTGAGTTTTGCACGTTCATGTAGTATGGCAACTTGGGTTAACAGATACTTGTACCAGGTCATGCTGATTATTAATGACTGGATAGTTAAAACTGAGTAGAGACCAAAAGTAGGCATATCAATAGGTCAGTGTGAACCTATCAGGGACTCAATATCAGGAATATAAGCAAGTTAAGTTGTAGATAAACGGGGTCATGCACCAATACCTAGAACAATTGCAAACGTCACTAATGAGTCAAAAATTATCGTTATTTCACGGAACATATACACACTCCCTGCAGGCCTTATAAATGTAGAACTGTGTACCTTGAAGTCATAGAATTTATTCTGTGTTATATTTATAAATTTTTCTGTTTTATAAAGTTGTTAAACAACATACAGGACGTATTTACGATCGATCGCTTATAAATTGAGCAAAGAAACAAGTTAATAAGATTTATGAGGATAAACGATAGTATTTGAATGAGTAGTTTTGCAGTAATTGAGCGCCGAGTATATGGAGGACACCATATTACCATCGACATGTATTTTACCTTCAACTAGTCTCTTCAGGAATTCTTTGAGAACAGACCATCAAAACTTGAACCAAAAGAAGTACGAGTTCTCAGCTCAGCAGACATCAAAGATGTCTGACGCAACCTGTTATATTAGCAAAGAACCTTCGATAGACTGACGTTTTTTCAGTGTGATTAGGTATCACTGCTATAAATAAGGAGTAAAAGAGAACCTACGGCTACCAAGCCATCAATAGGTCTGCCTTAAGATCAATCGAAGGGTTAACATGTAGTGCACAAGTTTAAGTTTAGATCTAGAGCTTAACGAATTTCCTTAAGTTGGTTGTCTCCAATAATAATCAGATGGTCGTATGACTTAAACCCTCAGAAATCATGTTTACTATCAATTAAATGCTATTGAAAGAGGATATCCCTCTTTTCTAATATACTAAGAAGGCCAGCAAGTTGAAGTCATACCCAACTCTGTTCGCTGTTGTAGTTTTTACTGCTTCGTCTCTTTTTAAACAAGCAATGATCCCATGTTTTGTGCCAATATTTCTTTTGAGATAGAAGCCAGCCGGAGTAATCCTTACTATTTAACCCTTTGTTCCAGTCTCTTAGAATCCAGGATTCTGATTAGTCTCCTTTCATGATACTCCCTAGTGGGTTTATAGTGTTGTCTATCGCCAGTACCTTTCAAGCTTTTGTTTTATTGTTTAGACGAGAAACGCTGAAGATACTTTTGCTCACAGTTTAGTTGGGACTGGACTCCGACTACATCAATTTGGCAGTTACAGAAATACTTTGGTGTTGATTTCGTCTCAGACGTTAGTATGACTGTGCTACCTCGGGATGAACGCTTACGTCTTCGACTTGTGATCTGAGTGCATAATAAATCAAGGGGTAAATGTCCAAACTAATGGGTTACCAAAATTTAGACATGTGATATAGTATATGTAGCCCTTTACCAATAGTCAGACCAAAGTTGTTTGAGCAGTTTTGCCGCTGTGTTCATTGGATGGGAATGCAGGAAACTTCACTGTCTATCCATTCAAATCAGCGGTATATACACGTTTACACAGGTATCAATACATACGATCGTTTGCGTGTCATGCAATTTTGTACTCTCCGTTCAATTGTTTAGCTTAATCGGATTGAGGCAAAAAATTGCATGCAAATCCAGTTTCACTTGTATAGGTTTAGCCTTACCGTTCACCGACATTAGGATAAATAAATGTACATGGAGCTTTTTCTAGACAAAGTAGGAGGGGCGGTGACCTATACGCTCTCCACCCCAACGTGGAGTCCTTTGGTCATTTTATTGTTTCACATTAACCACTGTGATGTCTTTGACATATCAGTTACAATACCTTTTGGATTTGGTTGAATGCTACGGTCATTTAGTGAGCTCCTTAGTTCATTTTTGTGAAGAACTAGTCTCAAATATTGACTTCAGAAATCTCACTGAATATAACACAGATGTTGATGTAATATCATCCACTAGGTGTATGATTAACAACATTTTTCGAAAATGCAAGTCAGCAATGTACTAAATAATGGTTGATTTGGTAAAAAAAATACTAACTGAGTAGGCAGGGATATGGCTAGTGAAATTGTATATGTGGAAGCTGTTGGGCAACTAAATACTTTATAGGGTCACCGAACACTTTTTGTCGTGCCTTTTTTAACCTGAAGACAACCAGGTCGCTACGATGCCATGACTGATTAGTGAATAGGCTGGAAAACCAAAACACAAAAAGATCTTTAGGAGTTCGCCAGCTGCAACGTGGGGCAGGAACATATATGCATGGGTCAAGTCGCCATACCTCATTAGCACAACAAGATCAACACCGAATTCATTGAGGTAGTTAATTCAATGGTGACAATATATAAAAGAGAGGTTACATATAAGGATCTAGTACAAGGAGAAAGAAAAGTATAAACACTCATCTAATGTAAAGTAGAACAGAACGAACTGCTGAGCAGTATACTCGCCCCTTAATTGATAGACGGATATCTCGCCTTTGCCATAGGTGACGTAAGTTGGCAAAAGCCAAACGAGCTTTTTGAATCCGTGCACAGATTTCGTCAGACACCAACCCACTAGGACTAATCAGACTACCAAGATAAGTGAAGTTTTCGACGCGTTCGATTACTTTGCTCCCTATCCTTAGTTCAGGTGTTGACATAGGCCAGTCCTGGATCAACAACTGACATTTGGTGGGGGAGAAACGCATCCCAAACATCCTTGCATTGTTACTCAGTGCTACCAAAAGACTGCATTTAGTCGGCTTCTTCAACAAACAAGACTATGTCATTTGCGTTCAACTACTTTGCTCCCTATCATTATTTCAGGTGTTGACGCAGGGCAATCCTGGAGCAATAATTTGCATTTAGAGGTGAAGAAACGTTTTCAATGGACTCGAAACCGTTTCCTAAATCCGATACTTCAAAACCACCGTCTGAAAAGCGCAACACATGATACATCAAAGTCACTCACTGAAAAGTTTACTCAACAAAAACTAGGTATACTTTCCAGTGAGGAGGCGAGTACTAGATGAGGACGGCAAATTGATTGATGGGGTAGTGAAACTTTATCAGTTGAGATGACTGGGACATGTGTTATGTATGCCCAACCACCGAGTGCCTCAACATGCAATGTTTTATGGTGTAGGAGTAGGTTGGAAGATAGCTATGGGCCGCCAGGCCAAAACGTGGCATGAATCCATGAATTCACTGATAAATGGACTGAGCCATGTTGGTAGGTGTAGACTACCTGGTTGGGATGCGCGAGATGATAACAACCGATGGTAAGAGACCTTGAATGACATTGCTCAAAATCGTTTGCAATGGCGAAGGTGTACCCACTGTTTGTTTTTTTCCCAAGTTCTAATCTCATGCATGCGTAATGTCTCTTGTATTTTCTCTTTCCAAATTTATTTTAATGGATAATTCTCCTAGAATAACATCTTCGAACCCTAATCTTTTCGATTACTGCTTATAATCTTACTACTTATACCACAATGGGATTTGAATCGACAACTGCATTTCTGCGCTGATGTGGTATGGCAACTCAAACTGATATACATACATACGTACGTACGTACGTACGAAGTTCTACGTTGTGACTGACTGATACCCAACAAAAATATCGTCCCACTATCACATAAATGGGGTCGTAACAACAAATCCCGATCATTCTGACTAAAAATGACTCAATATTTCTGCAGTAAACTTGTGGTTTTCGAGGCTTACAAAATACATGGGCATATATATTTGTGATTGTATGCATACTTTGTGAAGTAACGTTACACAGAATTATCGAACGTCTAAACAAGCCAGACTCGATAGAATGAAAAAAAGTTTCCAGAATAATCTAAACATGAAATGTATTTACGCACATTTAAACATCTACCGGGATTCAATTCTCTATAATATATTTCAGTGCTTTAGGGTCAGGGTTCAAGAATTTTAGACCTTCTTCAGAGTTGGAAGCTTTTGGAAGTCTATACTTATTGATGTCAGAGACATAAAATGCCTAAAAAATTAGGAAACAAAATTAATCTTACTGCAGCGAACAAAGCAGTAGCGATTGTAGCGCTAACTATGAAAAATGTATTATAAATCTTATTGTGCTGTTTGTGCAATTCAGCCCAACTTCCTTGAGGAATTTGAAGTTCATCATACGTTCCCGCTGGAAAACGCATGGGCACATGGTTCCTGATGTGATTTACCCGGCTAATACCTATTAACATATCACCAATTAATTTTAAAACCCACTTAGCAGATTATTAGGTGTCTTTGTAACAAAACGACTGATCATCTTGGGTTTATAATACCGCCAAGCGTTACACGACTTTCAATGTCCGTCTTCAGTTAGAAGAATAGGAGGTCTATTGACCTATATTAATCCTTACAGTTTGTTACACTGTGCGGGTCCAATCTCGTTTTCAACATGTCAACAGAAAGTGCTGATATTACGTTTTCTGGTAGATAATTCCAGCAATTAACTACAGGGTGTGAAATATGAAACTTCAGACGTAAATGACTTGATCTCAGTTTTTGGACTTTCTTCGAATGTCCCCTCAAATGATCAGTCCTAGACGGAAGGGAAAGCTGGGGTATCAATAACAAGGTCATCGTTCAGAATACGATAAGCCAATATTAGATCACCCCGTATTCTACGGTAAGATAACGGAAATAAGTTGAGGTGTCTTAGTCTGTCTTCATAAGATAGGCCAGATAGACTTTTTACCATTTTAGTCCTTTGGCGTTGAACTAGTTTCACCATATCCACCTCATATTTTAAAAAAGGACTCGCTGTTTGAATCCCATATTCAAAATGTGGTTGCACGAGAGTCGGTTATAATAATTCAAACATTTCCTTATCCAAATACTGGAAAGATCTACGAATAGACCATAATACCCCATAGTCTTTTGCAGAAGCATCCTAATAGTGGCTGGATGTTTTGAGATCGTTGCTCAGTATGACGCCTAAATCTTTATAGTTTCTTACTTTGTGTAGCACAAATCCACATATTGTGTAGTAATCATCGCAGTTATTTAATCGCACCACCACACTCTTGTTAGGATTCACTTCCAGTGACCACCCGACCATCCACGCCACCAATGAGTTGAGATCATCTTGTAATACTATTCTATCTGACATGCTGTATATGGGTCTCCGAATCTTTATATCATCGAAGATGAGTAGGACGGATGACTTAGCTACAGTTGTTAATTCATTTACATGAAGTCAAAATAGAAGAGGAACGAGGATTGTGCCTTGGACAACCCCACGTTTTACAGTGTGGAGAGTAGTGTAACGTCGTGTACTATATTACACCTTCATAGCTTATTCTAGTTTCTGGACAAGCCAATTCACCTATAACGTTATGAGTCATATTTTGATCTTGTTAATTATTCGCTTATTGACCTTGACTATTTTTTTATATGAGCGTATGTGTATGCACCCTTCTTATCCTACTTATCACATGTCTGTCATTCATTTTAGTATGACTATAAATGTTGATTAATGCTTGTGAGGATGCAACGGATATTCTAGTTTTACAACTAGTTACCAGTAGCACCTTCTGTGTTCGATCATTCCCAGTCAGATAGAAATCAGAAGTCAGACGAGAAGAGGCAGGAAAGATATATTTGATTGGTTACCAATATATCGAGGACCTTTTCTATAAGCTGGCTAATGAAACGTAGGAGCTGTGTCCCACGCCGTGTTGCAACGTGATCTGGTACGGATGCATGACCGAAAGCCTTCAGTTAAACAAGTCCACTTAAACAACGTGGTCAGCATCCAATGTCGAACACTTAATGAGCTATTGGTTTTGGGGAATTATTTACAGCTACAACAGGTTCCCACAGTGAGAGAGCTCCATTTACTCTTACCCTTTGTCTCCTGTCATGTAGAAAGTCACTTATCCAGTCTATGACAGTATAATGAGTTTTATGTTGGTTTGTTCTCTGAGCTGGATGGTTTGGTCGTGGAGCTTTCATCGTCCTTCTGAACGACATCATCAGCACAAACTTCGGGTAGAAGTGAAGTGTTTGAATTTCTCCACATGTGATTCACAGCTTGTCCTCTGCACCTCGATGTTGATTGGTTCTTATTGACCTTAAATCTGTCATTGTTTATTTCTTTGTTTTGATTGTCTCTCCTATTGTTTTGATTTTTGTTCCTATGTTCCTGCATAATTTTCTTGATTGGTTGATAGATTGGATTGATTTCAATATGTTTGTTTATTGCAGATTGACCTGAGTGCCAAGCTTCTAAAAATTCTCTGGTATTTTTGGAATTGCCTCTGTCCAAAATCTGCACATTTTCCCAGTCGAATGTATGTCCGTAGTTGTCCACGTGTATTGATATGAGTGAAGAAATGTCGTGGCGTTTGACTGCTAATTGGTGTTCATGTAGGCGAAGATGCAGGGGGCGTCCGCTTTGTCCAATATAGTGTTTGTTGCAGTTGGTACAATTTATCTTGTAGATGATGTTTGTTTTGTCTTCTTTTGCCATTTCATCTTTTGGTTTGCATAAGATTGAGTGGAGGGACTTTGTTGGTTTATGGGCTACACCTATTCCGAAGGTTTTCAGCAGCCTTGTTGTCGTTTCCGATATGCCCTTTATGTATGGTAGGGTGATCCTTTTGTTGATCTTTATACTTGACTTCATTTCTGATGGTGTGTGCGACTGGTATTTTTTGATGAAATTGATTGGATAGCCGTTCTTTTGAAGAATGGTTTTCAGGTGTTTTTCTTCATTTTTTCGTGCTGTGATTGTATTGCAGTGTGTTCTCGCCCTCTTGAACAAAGTTTCTACACAGTTGATTTTGTGAGTTCTTGGGTTGTTGCTATTGTAGTTGAGAATTTGATCGGTGTGGGTCGGCTTCCTGTACACTTGAGTCTCTAGTTTTCCTGTGTCCGTTCTGGTGATTAATACATCTAAGAATGGTAACTTGTTGTCCGACTCTTGTTCCATTGTGAACTTGATGTCGTTGAAGACGTTGTTGATCTGCTCGTAGGTGTTTTCTAGTTCCTCCTTTTTGACGATGACGAATGTGTCGTCTACATAACGAATCCAAATTTTTGGTTTGATCACTGGTAGAATTGTGGTTTCTAGTCGTTGCATTACTGCTTCCGCGATGAGTCCTGATATTGGTGATCCCATTGGTGTCCCTTTTGTTTGTTTGTAGATTTTGTTATTGAATTGGAAATATGTTGTTAGACATAGATCTATGAGTTCAAGTAGGCTTTGACTTTGAAGTTTCGTGTATTTCGCGAGGTTTTCGTCGTTGGTTAGGAGCAAGGACAGAGTTACTTTTGCTAGGTTTGGTTCAATTGAAGTGAATAGTGCTGTCACATCGAAGGATATCATTAGTTCGTCGTCGTTGATTTGAATGTTCCTAATCTGATCAAGGAATTGTGTGGCTGATTTGATGGAGTGGTTCGACGAATCTACTAAATGTTTCAGTATTCTTGAGATTTCTCTTGATAAATTGTACGTTGGTGTTCCTGGTAGTGCTACAATTGGACGTAGTGGGATGTTTGGTTTGTGTATCTTTGGTCTGCCGTAGAACCGAGGGAGTACTGGTCCATTAGATTTCATTCTCCATTGATCTTGCTTCGTTATTTCTCCTGCTTTGACGAGTTTGTTTAAAGTTTTTGAAATGCGATTGTCTAGTTTTTTGACTGGATTTATGTCCATCGGTTTGTATGTACTTTTGTCCTCGAGTATTTCCTCGGCTTTCTTGATGTATTCTTCCTTGTCCATAATCACCGTAGTGCGTCCTTTGTCTGCTGGAACGATTACAATATCTTTTCTGGTTCTGAGTTTCTTCAAAGCTGTTTGTTCTTGTGACGTCAGTTGGTTGTTGCCCTTCATCCGTTGAGTTAGTGGTATTATAGATTGTCTTATTTCCTGTTGCGTTTCCTCACTTATTCCGGACGTTTTGAGTGATGACTCTAGTGCTGCGTAGAATGCTAGTTTTGGGGCATCGCTTGTATTGTAATTTAATCCTTTTCGGAGTAGCTGTTCTTCTGTGTTTGTTAGTGGTTGCTTTGATAGGTTGACCACGCTGTTGTTTGTGTTTTCTTCTATAGTTGGTTTTGAGATTTTGATTATTTTCTTTTTAAGGATATTTCTTCTTTTTTCTCTGTGTCGTTTGCATAATGTTTCGATGGCTGTTGACAAGGTTTCGAAGTGTTCTGGTGTGAGTGTCTGTTGTAGCTTCCTCTTTTGGTCCTCTATGACATGTTGGTATTTGCGGATCCTGTAATGTGCGTCCGTTATCATTAGATGAACCATTTTTCTTCCACTTTGCTCAGCTATTTTCCATCCTAATGGGCAGTTGATTGGAGGTCTGTATCTTACACTTGTTGGCAGAACATGCTGGCGAATGCACTCGTGGAGAAAATATAGTTGTTCTCGAGTGGAAGCTTGCCTTTTGGCGAAATTCTCCCATTTTCGAACAACGAGAAGCGTACTACGCTCGTATGATTTTGAGATGGTGGAGAAGATTTGTAGCTCAGGTGGGTGATTTTTATGTTGGTTTGTTCTCTGAGCTGGATGGTTTGGTATAATGAGTTCCAAAACTTTCCAGTTTTAATTTAAGACCAGAATGGGAGACCTTATCAAAGGCTTTACTTAGATTTATGAAAATCACATCCACAGGAATATTGCGATCTTTTGCCTGAGCCCAATCTTATCTCGCAATGAGAAGATTTGTCAAACATGAGGGATTCAAGTCGTTATCTGGTGCATGATCTCACTGTAATGGTGATCATAGTCAATCGGGACTCGACGCCATCTACAGGCCTTTCCGAAAACCATGTTGTTCCTCGGATGAAAGATCATGCCCTTCCACATAGTTCATAAGAGCCATCCGAATAATTTTTTCCATCAGTTTTACAACTGCACTAGTTAAGCTAACAGGTCGATAGTCATTAATTAAATCTCTACCCCCAGCCTTATATACCGGACTAATTATCGCTTCTTTCCAGTCTCTGGGCTATCTGGACTGCCTCAGGCACATATCACACAGCATCGTTAAAGGTTCAGCAATTACATCTGATAGGGCTTTGATAATTCTAGGATGAATATCATCATGACCACTGAACTTATCAGGTTTGAGATGCTGAAGTAGTCTTAAGACAGTATGTATCTCAATAACTACAGGACCCATCAACAAGCCTTCACAATCATAATGAACAGGTGCTCGTTACTCATTACTGACAGAAAATACTTTTCCGAAATACTTCGACAAAGCTTCAGCTTTTTTGATGTCATTTCTTGCCAATATTAACGGATTT